TTAATTTTAAAAAATCAAATAAAACTTCATTTGATCTATGTTTCTAGGCCGTTTGAAAGCGAATGATCTTCGAACAAAAATAACCGATCGTGAAAATGCTCGATATTCATCTGATGATAATATAACAACACCTCGTTTACTAGCTTCATCCATACTTAAAGATCGAAATTATATATAAACACTTCGATCTATTCTTCCTTATTTATTAAGCATTATTAATATATAATAATTATTCTAGAAATTTACTATCATGTAAATACTAATTGATTCTTCTTTTCTTTTGTTTGTTTATTTGCTTATTGACTTCAATATTTCAACTTCAATTTTCTTTTGTTTTTTTTTGTTATTCCATTCCACTTTCAAATCTGTAGATAGTTGAATGAATTGTTTATTTAATATTTTTTTTGTCTTCTTCTCAACAAATGATGTGATCATATATGTTTGAAATATTTCCTTTAATTTTTTTTTCCATCTATTAATTATCTCATTGTATCAAATAATTGAGATGATGTGTCTTTCAGATGTTGAAATGAAACGAAAAAAACTATATCTTTTGTTGAGTTTTCTTTGGTTTATTATCGTTCGTTCTATAAGTGGTACATGTTCGTTTTCTTTTTTTTGCTACTAATGTATTTTTCTTTGGTTCGGATTAATCTTGTTATTATGAATACAACAAATATTTTACACATAAGAACGAAATAGTGATATACATGTATAGTATCGATGTAATACAAATAAGCAACGCTATGTAGAGTATTGTATGTGCTGAACAAGTGAAATAGTTAACGTGTTTTTTGCACTAATATGAAAATGCTCGAAATGTGAAAGTAGTCATTAGAAAAAAAATCATTGAAAGGGTCGATTACTCCAGCTGAATTGCTCTGATGTTAACACTTCGTAGCAGAGGTCTAAACCGGCTTGCTTTTCGTAGACCTGGCCTGCCCATGACAGGCTATGAACCTCTTCAGCTGGCCTGTACCTGTCTTTGATTTTTACCGGCTTGGCCTGCCTGCCTGTTTAGGCCTGTATACATTTTTTGCATATTAATATTAGGATAATAATTGAGTGTAAGTAGAAAACTGTCTTTATAAGAACACAAGAAAGTTGCTGATATCAAAATAACATATTAAGCGAAACATCTATTGATTTAATGAGGTATGTAACTGTCGAGTAAAGATAAAAAGGAAGCATTCAATATCTAGAAAACTGTTTTTGAGTAAAGGCCTTTGTACTGAATTTGATGAACTAGTTGAAGAGGACTTATTATGTCCGACCGCATTACGACAATATAAATATGAATCAGGAACATAAGACTTCGTAAATGCTTCATGTAAAAGCTTAATAACAACCAAATAAAAAGTGCGATCAGTAACCTACCGAAACGGATAAATAAACTAAATAAATAAATGGATAATGAATAATTTAATGATAATTTATTAATAGTTCTGATTGTGCTGAATCATACTGATACAAAGATCATCTCTTATCTTGCAGAGCAAAGATTCTTCATATTTTATTTTGATATCTGCACTTTCTACTCAAAAAATGAAGTTTTTTTACTGAAAATTTGGAAAAAACACGACAGGCAGGCGGCCTGCCTATTTTGAGCAGCCTGTCTGACCTGTGACAGGCTCGGAAATCAGAGCCTGTACCTGTCACAAGCAGACAGGCCCAATAGCCTGTTTGAACCTCTGGTTCTTACTAATATTGTGAAGTTTCTGCGGACTCTTCTAATTGGTCGAAAAAAAAGGAACATTTTCTCCAAAAACGTTCGGATCACTCGTTATCTATACTTGAATTACTTCTACATTTAGAACTAAAAAAAAGTAATTCAACTGTACATAGGAATAATTCAATCAATTGATGAGAAAGAAGAATGATAGTTGAATACATGAAAAACGATTATTTTATATGTGATTGGAAAAGATAATCTTTTTTTTGGAAGAGACATTCGCAGTTGACGACTTTGTTTATTCATATGCAGGCGAATATGTATTAATTAATCATTTAAGATGAGAGAAAAAAGTTAAATAAACTAAGAAATGCAAGACAAAAACATTAACGAAGTAGGATCAGTGATATGAAACGAATAATGTACGGAGGAAGTGTGTAAATATGATGATTCTGAATGATTTCACTTTGGTTGTCATGTATCATTCGTTTGAGTAGTATTTGTTTGGGAAATAAGTTCCAATTCAAAAATTGATGTACCAATCCATTCAATAATGACTGTCGTCGAGAAAAATGCAATAGAATAAGAATATTGATGTGTTTGTTTTTCTATGACCGAAATTTTAAAACTTCAAAAATTCTATATCGATTTCTTTTTTTGTGTTTTAAATTTTTTGTGAACAGAAGTAAAACTAAATAGTTTTTTTTTCCTTAATATTTATTACATTTTATTTTTCGTTATGTTGGTAATACCTTGGGACAAATTTAAAAATTCCTTTTACTTTTTTACAAGAACTATAACGTTCTTTATGAACAAAACTTTCAAATGCTTATCTAATAGAATTGAGTAAAAACAATTACAGAAAAAAAAACAAATATCAACTATGTCTATTGCAACTAGTTCGTAGGTCATCAACATTACCACTATGTCAAACTTTAGAGCATGTATGCAGATCAACCATACCATGAAGCGAAAGTTTATGAGTAGCATCCATTTATAAATAACTTGGCCAATTTCTAGTTTCATGTTTGAAAAAAGAATCATGTTTTTGAAAAAATTTCTAATCGTTTCTTCAAGTACATGTCGTTTCAAGTCAGTTCTAAATAATGATTAATAAGAACTTCTCAAATATATTTTTCAGATGTTAGTTATAATTCATGCATTTCTCAAGTCAAGGATTCAGGAATAATATTAAGTATTGATATTTCTTGACGAAGTTGTTGTCGTCAACAATAGTTCAGTCGCACTCATCACTATTTTACGCACTCACTATATTCATTCAATAGTTCTTTGATTTAAGGGATTGTATTCGAGACCAAGTTTTAATCTTTACGGAATCGGGGCCGGGACTAAAAATTTGCTAATACTGTTTCCATGACGTTTTCTGTTCCAGAACTAGACTATATATTTTCATATTTATTGTTCTGTTCTAATTAATGATCTACAAATAGGCCCGTTTTATTTATAATAGAGATAAAATTATGAATCTGCAAAATCACATTTTTCGAATCCTGAAGAGGAATTATCTTGTGAGTCACATCTAAAAAATAATACTTATAGTTCTGTAGAGCCTAAATTCTGATATTATCAAAGAGACCCTTGAATGAACATCGATTGAGGCTTATTCATTTCAATTTTGTATCTATGCAAGAACTGTGAGCTCTGAGAGAATTTTCTAAGCCACGTGGGCAGGACCAAGAAAAATTTTGAAACAGACACAAAAAAAAGTGGTGTTATATTTCTTTAGTTTTAACGCATGCGTATAAAGATATTGTCCTACTGTTAATTGCTCAGAACCATCAATATTCATTTTATATGTATTCAAAGAATCATAAAGATTATTAGAAAAGTCAGTTTTTTCTAGAAACAAAATCAGAACCAGAAATAATAAAAAGTTTAAAATGAAACCGGGATCAGAGACCGGGACCGAAACCGGGACTACAAAAAAAAAATATTTAACCGGTACCGAACACGGCACCAAGACCAAAAAAAGACGGTCCTGCCGATGTCTACTTTGAATACAGAAAAAATTCATATCTTCAAATTCTTTCTTATCGCTAATATTATTTTTCGTTTTTCTCTTTTGAAAATCTATACCTTCCAAGATATTTTGAATCTTTATCTTTCGATTCGTCTTGTTGCCATATTAATTTCCCATTAGTCCACAATCCGTTTGGTGCAAGAATTATCTGCAAATAAAGTCAATGAATAACATGAATACAAAAAAAGCCAGAATAATCTTTTGTACAAATGCAGAACATTACAATAAACAATCATTCGCCCATAATCAACAAAAAAGGATGAAACATATATTTTTATTATACTTCGTCAATATGATACAAGCATTTATCTTCTTTTCAATAAACTCCTGTAACATTTATCTAATTATTCATAATTATATATTGTTAATTTGCTGATAGATTTTCAATTAAATACTGGTATAACAATTTTCGTATATCGTTATTCATATATTAATATAGTCAATTTTCATCAATTATTTTCCAGTATCTATTGATGGCTCATCACTATCTAAATAACAAATATCTGACTAAGAAATAAAATT